GCCCCCTCCCCGATGCCCCTTCCCCGGATGCCCCTTCCCCGATGCCCCCTCCCCGATGCCCCCTTCCCGGGCCCTCCCTCCCCGATGCCCCCTCCCCGATGCCCCTTCCCCGGGCTGCGAGCCCGAGCGGCCCAGGTGAGGCTGGACACCGGGCGAGGCGGCCCACGGCGGGGACCGGGCTGCGGTTCTCCTGGGAGCGCCCCTCCGGGCAGCCGGCGGGCGGCTGCACGCGGACCGGTCCCCCGGGACGCACGCGGCGGAGCCCTAAAGTAGCAGATCAAGTTAACGGTGTAACGTGCGCGGGTTGCAGCGCGGCCCTGAGGCGTGCTGGTGACCGCGCGGAATGCACCTCCGCGCCCGCTCCGCTGTGCCGTCGGGCTGCCGCGGCCAGAGCACTGACTGGCTTCCTTTCCAACCGAGACGAGCTTCGCAAAGGAAGCGGATGCGATCTAGACGATTGACGGGAAAGTGGAAGACGGGTCTGCCTTTGGTTCGTGCAGTGAAGCCCTTACTCTTTCTAACCTTTGTGTTTGAACTTCCCCTCTCGCACCCCGGCTTCTGAAGCTCCCTTTCTCTGCCCTCCCTCCTCCTCGCTGCGCCCAACTTCCTCGCTTTCCTCCCTCCGCTTTCCTTCTTAAGGTCACCAAAGCAAGGTCGTCCTGGCCCTTGCGCTGAAGAGAGCAGAAAATCGGGAAGGAGGTTACCTGCGGCTGGGGGTCCGTGCTCCTGTTAACGGTCCGCTCTACCTGAGGCTCGCACAGAGGCGGTGAGATCGGATCAGGCCGCTTCGAGCAGCGCTCATCTCCACGCCAGCGCGCCTCCAGCTACAGTGGTTGAACCCTAAAACTCACCCAGTCACAGTCAAAAATCTCTCCCGAGAATCCAGCCCTTCCTCCTACAGAATTTAGCACAGAGAGGGAGACACAACTGAGAGGAGAAACGTTTCAACCCAAGTCTAAGGCCCAGGTTTCTCAACCCAGTGTGTGATCTACACAACCGCGTGTGGTCTTCCACGTACACACAAGAGCATGTCGCATGCACACAGGCGCACGGCGTCCTGTGGGTGTATGTGTGGCTGTGTCTGCATACGGACAACCTACATGTGTGTGGTATGTATGTAACAGGTGAACCTACCTACTGTACATTAACTTTTGATAAAATAACCAAATTGGGAAGAAGTCCTGAATAACAAGGTTGAAAACTGAGGGCTCACTGGATGTGTCCTTAATGAGGCCCTTTCCCGCTAAGCAGTACCCGGCAGCAGGGACTGAGAGTTAGGGCTTCCGTGAGAAACCACTATGCGATTCCCACTGCGCTGCTTTCGCAGCGTGGCCGCTTTGCTCAGCGCCCGCCTGCGCTCCTGGGCGCCTCTCTATAACGAACTCGCGAGAGAAACTAACACTAACGTCTCTCTTATTATTTACATTTTGATGAATTCAGATTTATTTTGACAACTACAGGTAAGTCACAGAGTCGAAGGGGGTCTTTCCCCCAATAACTCCCTTTCTAAAGATAAAACCTAAACGCAAGGTAATTCCCAGTCTCCACACACTAGAAATTTAAATTCCGTCAGTAGATGGCGCACGGGTCCCTTCTACGGACGTCCTTAAGTGACCCCTTTACAACAAAAACACTGGCGCTGGGAGAAAAGGGAAAAAAAATCGTGAATACTCCAGGTTCAACTTTGAACAAAGGAATTTATACCAGTCTTTCAGATTGTTATTTAACCTATTTTAATAGGTCAGCTGTTAAAGCAGTCAATCAGGAGTAACAGATTAATTACCTATCCAGCATACCTAGAGATTTTCACATTTTACATGAAGTACAAATGTGAAAAACGACCTATAAAACATATGCTGCAAGCCTGGCGTGGTGGCACAGGCCTGTAATCCCAGCACTCAGGAGGCTGAAGCAGGAGGATCCTTGCAAATGTGAGACCAGCCTGGGCTACAAAGTGAGCTCAAGTCCAGCCTGACCTGCATAGCGATAGCCTGTCTCAAAAAAAAAGGCCAAAAAAAAGAAACGTTGCAAACCATTTTTTTTTTTTTTTGAGACTGTCACATTATGTAGTTAGGCTGGCCTTGAACTCACTATGTAGCCTGAACTGGCCTTCAACTTGAAGTAATCCTCTTGCCTCAGCCTCCTGAGTGCTGGGATTACAAGTGTGCACCAACCACCACACCTGACTATGCAAGCAAATTTAAAACAAATTTAAATACTAAATACCAAATTGTGTAATTAAAATGAAAATGCCAGGTGTGGTGGTACACACGCATAATCCCCGCACTCAGGAAGCTGAGGCAGAAGGATTACTTTAAGTTCCAGCCCAATCTGGGCTATATGGTGAGTTCAAGGTCAGTCTTGAATACATACAAAGACCCTAACTCAAAAAAAAATTGAAATGAAGGATCAAATAATCCACTTATTCAAAGAGTAATTATCTTATCAAAATTCATGCTATACTGTAGTGTGCACCACGGTATGAAGAACCAGGGGGTTTGCTTGAAGAGCAGAAAAGCAGTTAACATCATATCCAGTAAAAATGATGAATAATAAAAGACCACAGTCTCTGTGACTTCTTAACTCCCCATCACCACTGCCACCACCCTGCCTTACACCATTATTTATGCCTCCAGCCTTTTCAATTGCAGTTGCTGTTTAATTTGGAAGTTGAAGCCAGTCTGGATTTTCTGGCAGAACAAAAAGAGGCACTATTAGGGTGTTAAGGCATTATTAGGGTTTTAAGCAGCACCCTAAAATAAAATTTATCTGTTTCTTGTGATGGATTATTGACGTACAAGTTCAGTAAAAATTAATTGTCCATCCTTTGCTGTTCAGATTTGAGGGGAGGGGAAGATGCATTTGGAAAGCCAAGTAATGGGATAGACAGTAAACACACACCCAAGGATGAGACAAACCCTAGCACAAGATTAGGAGCTAAGAGTAGTTCTCCTGAATTCCACCTTTTAATGCTTCAAAAAGGAGGTGGGTATCTGTCTTGCAACCACAGCCAGTTCTTCTATTTCCTTTTTCTTGATCTGAATTATTTTCCATATTCACTTTATTGTAATTCTTTTGGGGGAAAACATAAGTCCTATAATGAAAGAAAGCTAAGTCTTTTCCAGGTTATGAACATAGACACTAAATTGGAACTGTCTCCCTGTCTCTTATGCAGTTTTATTTCAAAATGTTGCAGTGTCTCGGGAACACGAGAAGAGGAAGGCTCGTGACTACTTTGAATAAACAATTGCTTTGATATCCACTTACAGAACTATTTCCAGAGATAAGAAATGCACAGGGCTCTTTTAACCACCAGAGCCTCTCCATGCGTAAATTATTCCCTGAGAGTCACTTAAGCGATGCATTTATACGTTCAAAAGACAAGAGTGTCTCCACAGTAATAATTTATTAATTTGGTAGGCTGTATCCCTAATTTAATAAACAGCACCTCAAGGCCTGAAAATTAATAGAGATGTTATGTGATACCCTCAGTCTGAAACAAGATAAATATTGGGGGCCAGTTGGTAGAATGTTATTGAAAATGTTTCCCTAATGTATATAGGAATCCCAGTGCCTGTTGTAGGTAAAATACCTAATAAATTAAAACTGCTTGCTGGTGAACTACCTGAAAAGTCGACCATTTTGCTATATCTTTACGCGTCTCTGGCATCTCTTCAAAGGTTACCATGTAGTTTTCCATCATTCTTTACATAGTCTCTTTCATTTTTAGTAAAAATTTGGTTTATTTTCATATATGTATTTTACAGTAAGGCTCTATTTTGTAATAGTAAGGCTCTATAAAGTAGTGTAGTTTATTGGCCCTATCAACTAATGCAGAGAACTCAAAATGCAAAAGAAACATTGGAAGAAGAATGCACTAGATGGAGCAACAGTGGCTTGAAAAAAATTCTAAGCCTCTAAGAAGTGAGTGATTTACTACCTTCTGGTAGGATCAAGTATCCTTGTTGGGTTAAGCTATTTACAGTCAGCCCAAAATAATCCATGAGTATGTTACCCACTTTGTAGATAATCCACAATGACACAATTTATGTGTGTGTGTTTTAGATGTAAATTTATGTTACAGGCAGTTTTTTCTTAACTATACAAAATGCATATGACTGCATCTATTTGTCAGTTTTCAATCATAGTTTTTCACAGAGAAAAGTTTATATATTAATCCATCCTTTCTCTTTTAGAGCTTTTTTCTAAATTTTCTAAATGTTATTAAGAAAAACTGTCTAAGAGAATCTTCTAAATTATATTAGCCAATCTGTCATCCCAGATATACAGTGCTTTGGTAAAGAACTATGGATCTAGGAAGCAATACTGCTTGGTAGGAATAAGGACTATTCACTTACCAGTGTGCTAACGTGAAAGAACCCTAGGGCATATCGCTACCTGCAGCTCTGTAATACATCCCCTGTGAAGTCAAACCAGGGAAAATTAATGAAAGACTGTTCTCTAAACTGTATTCATAACAATTTGGGGGAAATTTCAAATGATCAATATAAAAATCATTTATGAATTGCAAAAAAACTTTTATTTATTTCTATAATTTTTATTATAGAAATTTATTATATAATAAATATAATAAATATATTATAATTTTTATTATATCTTTATTTCTATAATCAGACCTTTAATATCTATTATTTTACTCTTTTGTCTTATGTTTCATGACTTTGACATTTTAGTTTTATTATTAATTTAGTGCATTCAGTTAACTCCCACTGGAGGTCGGCCACTGTTCTTGGTCCTTTGAAAACAGGGTGCAAGTAGACGATGCCTCTGCTGCCCTCATTTATTTCAGTACATTTTATAATTGTTGACTTAGCATTGATAGGTTGCTACAACAAATGGAAGATGTTATTAAGCATAAAACAATAAACCCTGGTTATTCATTTCTAGCTTATTTAGAAAGAAAAAAGATTTAGTCATGATATTGAAAGTAATCCCTACTTTTAAAAAAAGATAGTTGAAACTATTTACTGAAATCACAAACAAGTACTGAGAATATGTCCAAATAAAAATTTTATTTGCTAGGGCTTCAAGTGGTCAAATTTGGGATACTTGAAACCTCAAAAAGAATCTAGAATTTCATAACAACTCCCCTCCTTTTTTTAATCTTTGTGCGGGGATCAAACACAGGCCTCTTTTACATAAGGCACTTGCTCTACCAGAGGACTGTACTCCCAGCCCCATATAATGATTTTAAGAAAAAGAAGAAGAAAGCTAAAAACCTTTTTCTCAAGAAAAATACTAGTTAATATGTACCCAAAAAAGTGATAGAATTCATCATTTTTCAGCTTCCAAAACAGTAATAAATTTAACAAAGCATGTTAGTATGTGCTGAAAATACTGAGTGAAAGATTTTTGAGTACATTATTCACAATTATTCTCATTCTACAGCTCTAGACAGTATTAACTACAAAGGGAGGAAGCGGGCCCTTACAGTGGAGAAATCTGGACACCACAGAACCAAGTGATCAAACTGAACACTGCCGACCCTAACCCTAAAGCTGAGATCACGTGCCCCTCGATGTGATGCATTCAAAAACACACAGCATCACCAAATAGAATTCCTGCCAATCAAAAAAAAGAGAGAGATAAAAGGAGCCAGGTGTGGTGGCGCACACCTGTAACTCCATTACTCAAGAGGCTGAGGCAGGAGGATCGTTGCGATTACAAAGCGAGCTCAAGGCCAGTCTGAACTCCATAGCAAGACCCTGTTTCAAAAAAAAAAAAAAAAAAAGAATTCCTACCAAAAGTGCTTATCTCGAACCTAACTGTGAGGAAGAGGTCAAACAAATCCTGAGAACAGGCATTTTATATGATAACAGCCTAATCTCTGACAAAATCAATACCAAAGGAGCTAAAAGAAAAAGTGAGAGCATGCTCACTTTTAAAGTTGGCTGAAGAAACAAGAGGACTATATGTAATGCTTAATACTTAACTGGATTTCAAATTCAAAAACAGACATATAAGCAAAAAACACCCTAAAGAAAATTCCTGGGGAAGCTGAAGAAGGTTAAACATGTACTACACATTGGATGGTACAATTGTATAAAGATTAAATTCCTCGGATGGGATAATATTGTTGTGGTTATATAGGAGACTCTCCCAGATGTTAGGAAATACACATGGAGGTGTTTAGGAAAGAGCTGTTATGTCTACAACCTACTCTCAAGTAAACCAGTCAAAATAATAAACAAAAAAACAAGATACAAATATAAATTGAGATAAAAATAGCGAGATAAAAGAATTGAGTTCATCATACTGCCCTTTCTGTAGATTTGTCTCCCTCCTTTTTTTTTTTCAAAATATAAGTTTTAAAGGATAAATTCATCCTTGATTCAAGGCTAATTTCTGAAGTCACCACTCTGTATGTTTCCTCAGTAGTATTTTTGGTTTTTTAAAAAAATAGGTGCTTAGCCAGGCATGGTGGTGCTGTAATCCTAGGACTCAGGAGGCTAAGGCAGGAGGATCACTGCCAGTTGCAGGCCAACCTGGGCTGCATAGCAAGAGCCCATCTCAAAAAAACCAATAATAGGAATAAGCATAGGTAAAACGGAAAATGAAAATATTATAATCCGAAGGGCTGTGTGTGTCTGTGTGTGCACACACTCCATGGAGCTACTCCTACAACATGAGGCTTTATTTTTACCGAAAACCAAGGGTTCAGATTGTTTTCATCTTTTCTTTTTCCTCTTTTTTAGTTCTTTTTTTTTTTCAGTTTAAGACTTCATCTACTTTATATTTTCTCCTTTCTGCCAATCCCCAGATTTGTTTTAGAATTATAATAGTGTGATGGCTTTTGATTGGCTGACACTTTTGAGTTCAGCATCTTTGGTGATACCAGCTTTTTTCTAGCAGTGAAGGACTCCAAGGGGAGCAGGACACATGACACGGCTTAGCTAAATTAGTGACAATATTTTCATAGAGTGGTCTTTCAAAGGCAGATGCTGTGTATGAAATGTTTTCCCATGAGATTACAGCAATTTAAAGGTCATTCAATTCTACAAACTGCTCAACTGTGCCCCATTAAGCATTTCTCAGAAAGGATGTGTGTGTGCGCATGCGTGCCTCAGATGTACGTGTGTGCGTTTAATAGCATTAGCATTTAAGAACTGCCAATATCAGCATGGTCTAACTTAGGAAGACTTTTTTTCGTGGCTTTCCTCCCGGACCCCATGTCTAATGCACTAACTTTCCTTTCTTATTGCTCAAGGGAAGCTGGATGAGTGGTCTTGGCTCATTTAGAAACCATCTAATGCTTTAGTTCTCAGTTAATATTATCTTCAAAGGTCATGTACCTCTGACAACTGTCAGGCTGTGTCTCAGAATCAGGAACAGGACCTTTCCTTGCTTGAGTACAGCTAATGCAGTATCTAAAGACTGGCCAGCACTTTTCAATAGATAGCAGATTGAACACACGGCTCCTTAGAGTCTCATTTTAGGCTCAGGACGTGTGTGTGTGTGTGTGTGTGTGTGTGTGAGAGAGAGCGGCTTTTGCCAACCAGGTATGAGGCAGAGGAATGTGGAAGGAGTAACGGAAGTAAGAACAGAGTAGTGTTCTAGGTTTCCTTTCCAAGTTGGGCAAGAATGCACAAAGGGACCTCTCCCTTCTTGAAATGGCTGCTGGAGGTAGTGAAGATCATGGATCAAAAATAGAAAGAAAAGGAAAAAATTAGGCCCTAAATAAGAACAAACAAACAAGATAAATCCAAACCACTTTAAGATTTAAAAAAAATTTCTATACTACATTACAAAACTAAATATATGGGAATTATAAATATAATAACAGTATTATAGAAAAATATTTTTACTCTGAGGGAAAAGCATTTAGAGACTGGTTTTGATTTTTTATTCAGCAACCACAACATGGAAGCTATAATTGTATATAACATAGTGTATATACTTTCTCAATTAATTAGTTGTTATACTGTGGTTCTTACTCAAACTGTAGTTACTCTATAAACCAAAAGCACCAGAAGTATGTTTTTGACATTATCAGACCTCTTAAGCTTTCCTTCAATCAAGACCTTTAATTCTCTTATACAACTCTATATTTAAAACCATGTACTGGTCTTACTCTGCGCCAGATGTCTTGATCAGAGAGCTCATGCAGTGGTCTGACTTCAAGCCAAAACTGCAGTTGAGCCTTAAGGCAGGAAGAAGACAGAAAGACGGTGCTCGATCGGCTCCCAGAGCACTCCAAGTCATGTTGTCTTCCTCGACGCAACAACTTGATACACATTTTTTATCTAGATACTGAAGGGTTTGATTTTTGTTGTTATATTTTAGGGAGGAAGAAAGGATGTTGGAATTCTTCTAATCCTAATGAAAAGTAAAGCAGCAATTACCATATTCATGAGTAGAATGTTTTTCTCTCTAGATTCACCAATCTGTAAAACTACTGATGGGATATATTAGAAAAATACAAGACAGAAAAAATAACCAGTTTTCCTAACACTGTACATTGATGTGACAAATATTCCCTGTATGTTATGTGCCCATTACAGTTGCAATTTTGTTTATTTATTTATTTATTTATTTATTTTTGAGACAAGTTCTCACTATGCAGTTCAGACTGGCCTTGAGCTCATTTTGTAGCCCAGGCTGGTCTCCAACTCACAAAGATCCTCCTGCCTCAACCTCCTGAGTGCTGGGATTACAGGCGTGTGCCTCCACGCCCAGCTACAGATGCAATTTTAAATAGAATTCAATGGAAAGACTTTTTTTTGCAGTCTCTAACACTAATCTACACCCCCAGCACAGAAAGATAATTTTGGTAGAATAATGTTGGTCAAAGGAGAGATAAGATAAAGAAAAACTAGAAATTATACAGAGAAATAAGAAAATCTGATAAGAGGCAATGTGGAAAAACTTCTAAGTATTTAGCTTATTTAAAGTCTTCAAGATGATATATTTCCTGCCAGAGATCTGGTTCTTAAATAACAAGGAAAAATATGAGCAAAATAATATAGGCAGAGTTAGAATTTCATAGCAGTTTAGGAATGGGAGCACGAGGACATTTACCCTCGCACAGGACGCTGGCAGCACTCGTAAGGCCATCAAGGTGAAGGTGCACAGACCCTCATGTTTCCCTTGGGATAGATCAGAACACTCTCCATCCCAATTTTACTCAGCAGTTGTCTTTAACCTCTTCTTTTCCCCGTCCTCTCACCTTGTGTCACATGGTCATTTTGAAAAGCTTCTTTGTGTATTTTGGGAAGCAACCTGAAAGTTCAGATCTACAGGTAATTGCTGAGCCTTCTTTACTTAATTTTACATGTTTGGGGTCAAGAGTTCCTTGAACTCAAATGAAGATATATGAAAACATTACAAAACAGTATTAAATGCACCTTAACAAGGGTTTTTTTTTTTGTTTTAAAAGTATTGACCTAAATATAAGTTGGCTCACTTACTCCTTAACGTCAAAGAGAAAATGATTTAACGCTAAGTTAAAAGCAAGCACACTTGGCAAAACTGGGGAACTGAAGTAATTCTAAGTCAACCACATTTCTCAAAAAAGGAAGTTCCTTGACATCAGAGGTTGTCTCCAACTGGCAGAGTTTCAAAACAGCAGACATTCCCAAAATAACAAATTTGAGGCATCTTATTTGATTGTAGAAACAGCAGAAAAGTAACTGCAGTATGGCTCGGTCTGAGCTGTCGTGGTGCCGGGGCTGGGGTCCAGGGGCTTCTCGGGGCTGCCACTGAGCCACACCCCGGGCAGAATAACTTTTCATCCAGTGGAGGACACCGACTTAGTTACATGAAAAATGAAGGTGGACCCCCGAAAGCAAAAGCAGTATTTTTTAAATCTCCAAATCAGTTTTCATGTCTGTTTGTTTATCTTTCCATAAATACACCCTATTTTCCGAGGTATTCATCTTCCCCGTCTCTGTGTCTTTCTCTGTCTGTAGGGAGGTGAGATTTTCTGCAGCATATGCTCTGTCCTGTTCTGCCTCCCCACAAGCCCTGAAGCAGTGGAGTCAAATTGCTATGGACTAAAACAGTGGGGCGGGGGGACTGAGTGAAAATTAACTTTTCCTCCTTTAAGTTGATTTTCACAGGTGTTTTGTAACAACGAGGAAAATCTGACTAACATACTTGGGGTTCAAGAAAAACCTAAAGATTTTGTTCTCCAAAGATGTTTAAGGGCCGGGGGTATAATTTAGCAGCACAAGCGCCTGCCTGGCAAGCCTGAGGTCATGAGTTCAATTCCCAATACCAAAAAAAAGATGTTTAAATTCACAAGAACTTCATTCTTGTCAAGAGTTATCTCTCTGTATGAGGTGCCATGGGTACAATCTGCAGAAAGAAAGACAGACACAAGAGACAGAGATGGACACCGACAGAGGCGACAGAGGGAGACGGAAAGGGGAGAGAGAGTAGTGAACTGCTCTAGATTTGAGCCCCAGGGCTTTCAGACTGAAAAAAGATCCCAAACGTTAACAAATATTTTATCTTTTGACAAATATTTTAAAGGAGGTGTTTCATCAAATGGTGTTGGCAGGGATATAAGTCTATAATCCATGCTTTTTTTCCCCCCCAGAATGTGGCATGTATAGTTTCTTTCTCTAGGATTAGCCACTCCCCTTCCCTGGAGAAGGGGTGATTAATCTGGTGTCAGAGTGCTAATGCTCACCGGTCTTTCATTTCTGCTGCAAGTTTTCAGGTGTCAGTAGTCTCCGGCCAAGCTCTCGCCCACGACGCAGGAAGCTGCCGCGGGGCTCTCCTTACGCCCACCGCCCGGCCCCCGGCCTGCTCCCTCGCGCAGTAATAAGCGTACAAGCCCAACTGCGCACGACAGTTACGTAAGGGGGCGCTGCTCCAGGCAGTGTAAGGGCAGAAGGGAGACAGAGTCAAGGGCTTGGCGGCACCTTCAACCTGGAGAGCCTCTTTGCCACCCTTCAGTTTACACTCGCGTCCCTTCAGTTCCACTTTACTGTGGAAGGGTTATTTTTGAGTACGTATTGTATATGTAAAAATTACTAGACGATAAAAACTCAAATTGTCAGAATTATATATGTGTATTAACAAGAAATGCACTTTTTTAAGCCTCTAAGGGAATGGCAGAAAATAAAAGAATTGTTTGAACACTGAGATTACGTCTAGAGGAAAATGTCTTCCTTAATTTTTTAATTTAACAAACACACACATGACAGAAAGTGTTCGCGTTTTATAAGTATTAACTTATTTTAAAGCCCCAATATACTTCCATGTTGCTAGAAACCCTTTTCTCCCTTTTAGATGTGAGCAACCTGAAGCTCTGAGAGGTTAAGTACCTTGTGTAAGGTCACACAGTTAGCAAGTAGAAAAATCCTAGGACAGTGATGGCAAACTTTGAGAGATTTCAGTGACACACAGAGCCCGCAGCGACACGTGTGCCGTAGATTGGCCGCCACTGTAGGGTGATCATTGTCCTGGTTTTAATTCTGACAAGTTCTGCACCCCTGTGAACCTCCTCAGTCTTAGGAATATCAGGATGGTGGGTTATCCTGAGACGCAAACCCTGGCAACCTGACACCAGACTCTGAGTGAATAAGGTGTTGCGGTATGGTGTGTTGTGTTGTGTTTCGGTACTGGGAATGGAAGTTAGGGCCTGTGCATGCTGATCACGAACTCCATCACTGGGGTGCACCCCCCAGCCTGTATTTCTTCTAATAATGCACAGATAACCATGATAAATGTGGAAACACCATGTATAGAAATGGACATAGCGAAAGCAACCTTGAAATCTGGACCTGCTACAGTATGTGGTCTACTTGGAAAAATTACCTTTAACTCAGGTAATCTCAGAATAAACTCTGGAGTGTTCCAATCTTGATGATTTGTGTTGATGGCAACTGAAGGGCAGACACAGCCACTGCAGAGACTTCTGAGAGCCAGGCAGAAGAAGAAGGGAAGTGGAAGTTCTCTGACAGATGGCAAGGAAGGCGTTTTCCTTCTCACAATGCAGGAACAATGGGAAACTTGAAAATTCTGTAAACCCAGTTGGGAGCATTGCTGTTTCCTGCTTTCTTGAACCGTTTCTGTAAGTCTCTGTATCATTAATTATTAAAAAAATTTCTGTTGTCTGTGTCTACTGACCTCTTCCCTTGGGTGCTTGCAATGGCCTCGTTGTGATAGTATCATACTAAGAAACTTCTGTCAGGACAAGTGGGCCGAGAGAGAAGATGCACGGTTGTTCATACATCGATGGAAACAATATCCTAAGACCGCCTTCATCTGGGGAAGTAGAAGACAGAAATCTCGTCAGCAGAGCCTTTGAGTCTAAACTGCAGTCACCACTCAGATCACAACTCCTCGCCCTCCTGTGTGGCTAAAATCTTTGACTGGCCTCTTCTAACCTGGCGTTCTATGACAAGATGAGCAGCCAGCTCATGAAAAGCCTTGCGTGTCATACTTTTTTTTTTTTTTTGGTACTGGGAATCAAATTCAGGACCTTGCACTTGCCAGGCAGGCGCTTGTGCCACGGAGCTATATCCCCAGCCCGCATGTTATCCTTGAAAGGTGAGATTCCTCTGTGCTGAAGGGAAGCTATTGAAATGGTTTGAAGGGATGAGTAACATGATTTGCGTGTTTAAAAGATCACAGTATAAAAATGTTTGTCACACAGAGTCCTAAGGAATGTACTATTCAAAACCATGGTTAACAGTAAAGCAGTTATCAAATGGACCCTCAAATTGCAAAACTTTGAAGATCTCTTTGAAAAAGACTATAAAATGAAAGAAAATGGATTTAAGTGTGTTACAGAAACTACACCAACAAAGGTTGCATGTACTTCAGGGTGAAGAAGAGATTGCTTACCAAATGAACAAGTTGTTGGCCTCAGAACTGGGGAGGCTGCAGTTGCCAAACTGTTCGCAGAAGTAGCAAATAGTGGTCAGTTTTTGCATGTTGTAATCTAAACCAATATGAAAAAATATATAAAAAATTATGCAGGCCGGCTTGTAGTCCCTAAAGGCCTCGTTGGAGGGTGCTTTACCAGCCACCCTTCTTTCCACATCACAGTCATTTCAATCCCTACACAGATTTCTCAGAAAGAAGTTAGTATTTTTTGAAGGTAAAATGAAAATGCTTTAAAAATTCTTAACATAGCTGGGCATGGTGGCACACGCCTGTAATCCCAGCACTTGGGGGGCTGAGGCAGGAGGATCATTGTGAGTTCGAGACCATCCTGGGCTACAGAGTGAGCTCAAGGCTGGCCTGAACTGCATAGTGAGACCCTGTCTCAAAAAGACAAAAAAACACATAAACAAAAATCCTTAACATATACAGTTAGAGGGCTGGGGATATAGCTCAGTGGCACAGCACCTGCCTAGCAAGCGTGAGGTCATGAGTTCAATCCCCGGTACCACAAACAAACTAACAAACAAAAATACAGTTAGAGTGAATAGTGGCTGCCTTAGAGGAATTTATTAAAGAGCACAAAAGAACGTTTGGGGTGCTAGAAATGTCATACATCTCAACTGGAATTTTGGTTACCCATATGTATATAATCATCAAAACTAATCAGACTATACACCAAAGTATGTATAATTTACTGTATGTAAATTATAAAAAATTAGTTAAAACCAAATAGATTTCCTTTCAGTATCTTATTTACTGTTAAGAGCCACTCAGAGTAGCTAGGGCTTAACTGTAATTGATGTGCTGCTATAGCTAACTTATAGCAGCAATGTTTATACAAACACTCATTATGAAAATATTTTTATGATCAGGTCTTGTTGACTAATAAAACATTACCTTTCATTTATTAACCCCAAATAATATATTCTAAATTAAAACACATTCAACATAACTTTTCTTTCCCTTTTCCTAAGATAAAATAAATATAACAAAATTCTTCTATAAAATTCCCACACAACATCAACTGTCAAGGCTTCTTGATGAAAGTGATCTCTTCTCTTAGATAGAGTCTCACTAAATTGCCTGGACTGGCCTCAGACTTGTGATCCTTTGCCTCGGCTTCCAAAATAGCTCAGATTGTAGGCATGTTCCAGCACACCCAGCTTTTCTTTTTGTCTTCTCTTTTTAGCAGAATAAAATGTTACTGATGCTTTATTTTGAACTACTTTAGCGCTATTGAAAGCAAACTGTTTCACATATCTTGATCATTTACACTTCCGCTTTATGATTTCTGTGTACCGTACTTTATTGCTGCACCTTTTTGCATTGAAGTTTTAGTGTTTCGTTATTGATTCCAACTGCTACGCACATTACTGATTTAAACTGCTGCAGACTTTTTTGTCAGATAGTTGAAAGATCTTTCCACTTTGTAATTTATTTTTCAATTTTTGATAGTTTTTGTTGGGGAGACTTTTAAATGCTTCATCTAGTCAAATCTTTCATTTTGATTCCTTTGTGATTTACGCTATGGATTCTGTCCTTAGATCTAATACTTCCTTCAGGAAGAAGTAAATAGCTCCCTAAAAATTCTCCTAGGTTTTCAACTAGCACTTGGGCAAACACTGATTATGTCACAGGTGTATATTTTAATATTGGTTTGTTTTACATTGACCATGTCTCACAGTTGCCATCAGGAATTAATTTTAGTACATGCTGTACATTGACAATTTAACTTTTCACAAGTGATTGATCTATTGAACAATTTTTTACACATTACAATGTAATACCAACTTGCTCATTTGCATCATTTTTATAAGTAATAGTACCTATTTACTCTGTTATAAATGTACGTTTAGAAATATTTATACTATTAATACTCTGTTAGGTGCATTTTGTTCATGTCTTTTAATACATGAGGAACAACGTGTGGCGGCACACACCTGTAATCCCAGCACTGGGGAGGCTGAGGCAGGAGAATCACTGCAAGTTTGAGGCTGGCCTGGGCTACATAATGAGTTCAAGGCCAGCCTAAATTACAAAGTGAGATCCTGTCTAAAAAAAAAAAAAAACAAGAAACAAACAAAAAATACATGGGGTGGGGGCAGGTCTTTATTTTGAGACACTTTTGGTTACATATAACAAAAATACATTGAAGTTTCTTTAAACAAAATGAGAATATCCATGGACTAATCAACCGTGCCCAGAGGCAGTGGTCACCCTGGCCCAGCCACAATATAGAGGCATCCCTGCTGAATCCTTTCAGGTGGGTGCTCACTCTTTCCCTCATCAATTTCTTTTTAAAAAATATTTCTTGGCTCTTCTCTTTTTTTTAGCTAATCAACTCTAAAATCACCATTTCAGGCTTCAGAGGATATCCTATTTGGGTGTTGATCAGAGTTGTATTGAGTATATAACTTGAGAAGAGCTGATATCTTTGACAGTTGTTGTTATCCAGGAAATTGGTGGGACTCCCATTTATTCAAGTATTCTTTTATGGTCTTCAGTAAATTCTGTACTTTTATTTATATCATTCCTGTCCACTTCTTGTTAGGGTTATTCTGAGATTTTTTTTTTTTTTTACTCTGAGATATTTTAAATTATTCAAGCCAATTACAGTCTGACTTCTACCTATTAATCTTAGTTCTCTTATTACTAAAAAAGAGGTGGGGAGAAGCAGTAGAAATTACTGGAAGGACACAGAAGAGGGTTAGAATTAAGAGGAGAAAATTAAGTGTCAGGAAAAGGAGGCAAGGCTGTTACTAGGGATTACTGGGGGCCAGGCGTGGTGGGTACACACCTGTAATCCTAGCACTCAGGAGGCTGAGGCAGGAGGATTGCCACCAGTTCAAGGCCAGCCTGAGCTACATAGTGAGTTCAAGGCCAGCCTGGACCATACAGTGAGACCCTGTCTCAAAAAACAAAACACAGACGAAGAGATGACTGGATCCATGGCTGAATTCCTCACAATTCTCCCTGCCTCTTTCCCTCCCTCTTCTCCTTCTTTCTTCTCTGTCTCTGCATTGCTTGTCTCTCAAACATGTCTGTAGTTTGACTCCACCCTGATATTTCCATTATCCAAAAAGAAAGATGTTTTTCTCATTGGTTCTAGATAGAAAGACTGGCCCCGCCTCAATCATACAGCTATCATGGAGGATTACGTAGCTCCACAGCCAGAAGGGTGTGACGCTGTGAGATATACAACCTGAGTCATGTGCCTGCTCGTCTGGACAGGGAAGCAAGACTTGCTGCCAGGTGAAGGGAAGGAAGGAATTTGGGCAGACCATAGCCATTATACCACTTGATATTATTCCTGCCAAATTTGCGTGTGATTGCCTTCTTGCTGATTCAACAGCTACTTCTCAATTCTTGTAGTTATTTTATTCTCTGAAATCTTTGAGCCTATGGACAACTCCTTAAATTCTCTGTTGTGTCAATAGCTCATTTTCTTATGGTTTTCCTTCTTTTTGCTCTTTCTGTTCCTTTCTGTTCACGCACTTATGGCCTTTCCTCCCACCCACCCTTCTCACAGAAGTGTGTTGTGTAGGCCTTCACCTTCCGTTTACCTCTGTCTTCTTTCTGTAGTACATTGTTCTGGATTAGCTCATTCTGTCCTGTGTCTTCCCTGGTCACCTCTACACTGCTGACCCGCAGCCATTCCTCCAGGCTAGTTTTCTTCGTCCTTAGATTCAGCCTGTCGTGAGAAGAAATTAGTGTTTTAACCCGGTTTAACACTAAGAATGAACGGTGGTTTGAACTGTCTTTGTCCACAGGAGACACTGAATATGCCGTGAATCTTCTAGAAAGCGCTAGCTACTCTACAACAGTGGACACAGTTTTCTTCTTGACCTTCTTGTGTTTCCAAAGTAAGAGCATTTTGCTGTTACACTTCATCTTTAATAACAGAAACCAGAACATAGCACACTAATCAGAAAAAGTGTACTAAAATTGGTATCTGTAAACTTTTGTTCTAAATTTTGCTTTGCAACTGAGCTTTTTTATTTTATTTTATTTTGTTTTATTTTTATTTTTGAGGCAGGGTCTCACTATGCAGTTTAGACTGGCCTCGAGCTCACTTTGTAGCCCAGGCTGGTCTCGAACTCGCAACGATACTCCTGCCTCAGCCTCTCGAGTGCTGGGATTACAGGCATGGGCCACCACGTTCAGCCCAAGCTTTTTAATTTTAATTCTATTTGCATATTTATTAATTTTGTCGTCCTGAGGATTGAACCCAGGAGCACCCCACCATCAAGTTACATCTTTAGCCCGATCCTTTTTTTTTGACAGAGTCTCACTAAGTGGCCCAGATTGGCCTCAAACTTGCAACCATCCTGCCTCAGCCTCCTAAGTAGCTGGGATTACAGGTGTGTGCCACCATGCTCAGCATAACTGAGCCTTTTTATGCCTAAGATTCCTAATTCATAATTATGATAGGGATACAGTGAGATAATTAATGCATGTGAAAACATTTTATACTTCACAAGTAATTACATACAGTACATGAAATATGCTTTATGACTGTCTCATCTTGCCTCACTTGCTATTCATACCCATGATAGAAAAATTAATTGTGATCACTACTCGTTTGTACCAAACAAGGTATCCTGTCTCTCTAAGGGTCCTTAATGAATTCATAAGTCGTTTAAATTTAACTCGACACACAATCAACAGTAATAGTATACGAAATGCGTTTCCTTCAGCCCCAAAGCCAGCTCGAGTTAAGGAGAAAAATGGAAGCGGCCTCACTACAACCAGGAGTTGGGTGATCAGCACCGTTGTGGAGAAGGCAGCACCACAGCTAGAAAGGAGGCCAAGGCAAAAGGGTAAACGTGTAAGGGCAGGAGGTAAAATTATTTTTTGCAAATTTTATTTCATTCCTGACAAACTTGGGACAACTAAAAAATTACTAGAGGCAATATCATTTGATAAATTGGCTGAATTTGAAAATAGTACTATATAGGAATAAATAGGCAATTTATTTACATAGTTAGTTTGAGATATAATGGTGTATAGCCCATTTAGAAAAGCAGTAAAAAAAGTTTTTCTTAAAAAAGCTTAAGACATATATTTGAAAAATAACTATTTAAGAAAAATTACTTACAATTGAAGTCCCAAAAGAATCTTGAAGGAAGGAAAAGCCATCCCATGTTCTTAAATAGGAATGCTCAATATCACACATGGGCCAACTCAATAAAAAAGATTTTATTTTATGCAATCTGACTCTATGGTCTATTTTATTAAAAACAAGCATCAATAACTATGGAAATATGGAAGAAATCCTAGAATGTAGTGTAATGGACTTTTATATTTAAAAAAATCAAGGGAACAAATGACAGCATTCATGTCTTAGTTAATTTTCTTGTTGCTGAGACAAAATACTCAATAACCAAAGTGAACTGAGGGAAGGCTGGCTCCAAGGCAGGGTGGGATGGCAGAGCGGCATCGCAGAGGAGAAACAGGTCATGGCGGCAGAAGGCGGCAGTCAGCAAGGCAGCCAGCTACACACAGCGGGCACGAGCAGCAGCCCTCTTTCCGTCCCTCATGTCAGACCGTGCCCAAGGTGGGGCTCCCCTAATCCTCCCAGAACTACTCCAAACCAGTCAAGGACTCACTTAGTAGTCTCACACCCTCACTCCCCGCATCACACGCTCCAGATTCAGCACCTTCTAAGAGCCCCGCCTGCGACTGCATGAGGCTTTTCTGGGGGTGAGGCATCTGGACGCAGCTATAACAATTCAGAAACAGAAGTTAATAAAGTATGAAATAGCACTTCAAGTTGTGGGAAAAATGGTTTTTGGGCTACTAAAAAGCATCTAGAAAAATAAGGAAAAATAAATTTGGATCTGTACCTACTAATTTATATAATTTTTTTTTTTTTTGGTATCGGTTATTGAACTCAGGACCTTGCACTTGCCAGGCACACGCTTATGCCACTGAGCTGTATCCCTAGCCCTCTATTTAACAAATTAAATTAAACTAAATTAAATGTAAATCAAATGCTTACATGTTAAAAAAAGAAACTAAAGGAATTAGCAGACAGCTTTGGAAAACTAGGAGTTTTTTTAATAAAAAATGTTTAAGAGAGTGTTACGGTTCATATCTAAAATATTCCCAAAAGCCTTGTGCTCTCACAAGTGGGGCTTTTGCGAATGACCCGGTCCTGGTGTGGTACTGGATTTGCCAACTGATTGGTGCGGCATAGTTCTGGATGTAACTGAGAGGATTTAGTGAAGAGGGAAGACCCTCCTGGGGTGTGAGTAGCACCAGCTGTACCTAAATGGAATGCAAGGGAGAGAAGCAGGGAGGCTGCTTTTTCTCATCCACTGCTGCCTGCCATACCATGCACTGCTCCTTCTACTGCTATACCTCTGCCGTGCCTCGCTGCCTTGAACCAACTTACTCTGGACTGAAACCTTTTCACACTGTGAAGTAAAATAAACCCTTTCTCCTTTAACTTGTAGGTGTCAGGTATTCTGTCCCAGCAACAAGAAAGTAAGTCAGGGAGGGAAGGTTATTCCTAAATACTGTATGTCACCAAATTCAAAAGGCCTAAAAGAAAAGGTTAGCACATTAGAATACATAAAAATAGAAACGAAATTCTGCAAGGTAAAACAAAGACAATGGCGAGCTGGGCTTGATGGTACACGCCTGCAATTCCAGCCCTCTCAAAGTGAGGCAGGAGGCTCACAAATTCAAGCCCAGCCTGGGCGACTTGGAGAGACCCTGCTTCAAAAAAAATAGGGGAGGTAGTTCAATGCAAAGACCTGGGTTCAATCCCAGCACTGGAAAAAAAAAAATAAAACAATGACAGTGCTGAAGATGTAGCGTACTTATCTACCCTGAATGATGCCCTGGGTTCCTTTGCAGCCAAAACAAACAAACCAAAGAGACAATGACAACCTGAGAAAAATGAATACTTGCTACTCAGACCATAGGCAGATGCTAATTTTTCTAATATAGAGATTGTTTTATAAATCAATAAGTAAAAGACCTATAGACTGTTAATGTAAAAAAAAATGCAAATGACTCCCTAGGAAAAGATGCCTTATTTATTTATGAAATCAGAAATGCATGTTAAAGCAACACTGGAATCTCATTTAAAATTACATTAGCAAGGACCTAAAGTTTTGATTGGAAGACGAGCGGTCCTGCACCGGTAGATGAGTGCATTCCGGCAATTTGGCACTGTCTTATAGGATGAACAATGTGACATAGGGGGCCGTTCTTCTGGGAGTTCATCCCAGACTTTATCCCATTCCTGTTGCTAGATTACTTATTACAGCATTGCTTGTAACTCCAAAAGATCTCAACGTAGATGTACATACTGTAAACTGGAATAGAACAGCTATGAAGACACTGCTTATGTGATACAAAGTGATCTCCATGATCTAATGTTATTCAGAAAAAGCAAGGTATGATATGTATGGTAGTCTACCTTTTGTTTAAAAATAATTTTAAAAATGTAAGTTATGATTACACAATATGAATTATCTCCAGAAAGATATACGAAAACTCTTCATATGTGGTGTCTCTACGAAAGAAAATAGTATCAAGGATGTATAGAGACAGAAGAGCTTACTTTGCACTCCTTTAAACTTTTTTTTATCATGTGTTTAACCAGTTCTAACCTGTAAATAACGTTAAATGGTAAAATGCTGTCCCCTTTCTCGTTTGTACAGTAACATGTGCTTATTAGGGAAATGATAAAATAGTTCTGAGGCTGCAGTCTTAATTATGCCTCTGTTCTGGAGCAGATTAATTCAGCACTATCTGGTTATGTGACAGTACAAGCAGAAAGGTCTTCGAGATGAAGAAGTGGGACACCTAGAAGGTGGAATGGAAGTCACAGGGAAAGTACTGGCTTCCTGTTTGGGAGACTTGGCACATTACCTGGATTTTTCAAATACCTAACTCTTTATCTTTAAAAGTTGTTAAACCAGGGCCGGAGATGTAGCTCAGTGGCACAAGTGCCTGCCTGGAGAGTGCAAGGTCCTGAGTTAGATTCCTGATATAAAAAAAAAGTTATTAAACCTAATCGATATCCTAATGTACCTGTGAAGTTATCGGTCCCTCTCCTGGTTATACAAGTTAGACACTCCACGGCTCTGGGGAACTTGTGCTTTGGCATCTGTATCAGTATTTCTCAATGCAACACACATAAGAAACCACTGAGGACATTCTTCAAAAGTACATTGTGATTCAGTAAGCCCGGGAGTAGGAGCTCTGCATTTCTAACAAAACTCTCCTCCAAATCTCCCAAGTTTTAAATATTATTTTTCTTTTTTCTTTCTGTTTTGTCTTTTTGAGATAGGGTCTTGCTAGGTAGCTTAGGCTGGCCTTGAGCTCACTTTGTGGCCTAGGCTGGTCTCAAACTTGCAATGATCCTCCTGCATCAACCTCCTGACAGGCCTGAGCCACCACACCTGGCCCAAGTTTTAAATATTCTTGCAGATATATTCTACATTTATAGAAGCTAATACACAGATGCACTTGATCTTAGCCAAAAGGCCGAGAAGCAGTAGAAGCTAATACATAGATGAATACATACTGAATTGTTTAATGAAAATGATAGCATATTACATGTCTTGTTCCACAGCTTGGTTTTCTCCCACTTAAAGTCTTTGAACAGTGAGGACAAACCTTTTGGAGCTTTCACTGATAAAAACAGCCTGCTGCACATGCATGCCATAGACCACACTGTCTTAGAGCCTGTTCCAGACTGATGCATGTGAAACTGCCTTGTCTTTTTAATAGCAAAACAGTATTACTGCAGGGTAACTGTTATTTAGGGGAGGGGCCTTCAAATGGTGGGAAACAAGCTTCTCCTCTGGAAAGGTCTGGGCTCTTGGGCCTCCTCCCCTGGCACTTCCCCAGCAGCAGCTGGCTCAGAGCATCTACCCGGCCTCTCCTACGGTGAGGATGCGCTGCTGTTTTCTTCCCCTCAAGAAAAGACCAGGATTAGTCAAACCCTGTGTGGGATGGCAGGTTCCACATTTGGCAATTCTTTTTTTTTTTTTTTTTCCAGTACCAGGAATCAAACTCACAACCTCATGCTTGCCTGGCAGGCGCTGTGCAGCTGAGCTAAATCCCCAGCCCCCTGGCAATTCTTAGTATCTGCTTTCAGCTCTGGTCTCTGAGAGTACATGAAGGTAGCAGGGCTCTCTTTACCACCACCTTATATGCACTACCACCCTCCATTGCACATACTTCTCCCATTTTATAGTCAAAAGTCCTGTTATGCTTATTGGTGGGGTGGAATAGGGCCTATGTATTTCTTATGTTCTATCAATGTATTTATTAATCATGACAGTAAAATTACTACAGTGGTGATGATAAGGCATGTACCGGTGACTAAAATGTGGAGGCGCCCAAGTTTTGGACCCATGTAAAAGCAGCATTCTGGACCTACTTAGAAGTAGCATTCTGGTATTAAGAAAATCTTTTTGCTTGTGGTGCCCTAGTTACATAGAAGTAAAAGCTGAGAAACTAAAATCTACAAAGAAAACTGAGCCCATTACGCTGTTTGATTTTATACATATTACAACTTTTCAATATGTTAACTTGAGGAGACCTCTGGAATTTTCTTTTTTAATCTAATGGTTATGTTTTCGGCTGATTACTGGCTGCCTTCCTTTGTTTGTCATTTGTCCAGAATATCTGAGCTGATTTCCATCAGTGTATGGTCTATCACTAAGTAACATGGTGGGAACTGGACTTACAGTGGTTCACAAAACGAAGTATATTCCCTTTTTTAAGAAGCTTCCCACCAGAACAGATACATCAAATAAGAGCACTGCAATAGAAAGGAATGAGTAACGTCTTCAGATATAGAACGTGGTCATGCTCAGAAGAAAGCTAACAAAAAATTATGTCAGAGTCAGCATGGGGTGTTATTTATTTATTTATTTATTCTTTTTGAGACAGGATCTCCCTATGCAGTTCAGACTGGCCTTGAGCTCACTTTGTAGCCCTCGATGATCTCCAACTCACAATGATCCTCCTGCCTCAGCCTCCTGAGTGCTGGGATTACAGGCATGTGCCACCCCACCTGGCTCAGAATGGAGCGTTTAGTCTTCCCCTGCTCTCCTCTGTCCTTTTCTTTTTTTCTCCAGTGCTGGAGACTGAACCCAGGGCTTTGCATATGCTAGGCAAGTACTCTGCCACTGAGCCATGCTTCCAGTGCCAAGGGGTGACTTTTCCTTAAAGAAAAAATAGTTTTTAAATCTCCTGACAATAACCAACTGTGAGCTCTACTTTAGAAAGTGTAACAGAAGTGTTTTCTTTTTCCTGATTAAGTCACATCAGCAAAAAAAGGAAAGGTAATTTTCCTCTCTCATTCAAACCTATGAATTCTGTGCCTGTCAGAAAAGCGAGGTCTGGGCCTCAAGCTCAGAACTGGGCTCCGTGGAAAATGACAGAACTGGTTTTCGGGTCTCTGAGAGTTTTACGGCGTCATTAAAGGAGATCCAGTCTCACAGCAGGAAATAGGGTACCTGTGCACATACAGGAAGTGGGTCACCAGTAGCTCCCTATGTCCCTCCCTGTCATCCTCCTGGGATGGGTCTGGAGCCTTGGCACACAGCCCCGGAGCAAGTGTTGCGGCACCCAGCTGCTTTCTTCAAAGGTAATGGGGCAGGACTTCCGGCAGCACGCTATGGTAGAGCAAGAAACCATTGCTGTTGATTATTGCCTGAGACTAGGGAGGGAAGTTGCCTCAAATGTTGACTAGACTGGGTATAGTAGCACATACCTGTAATCCCAGCTCAGGAGGCTGAGGCAGGAGGGTCACAAGTCTGAGCCCAGCCTAGGCAACATAGCAGATTACCAAGATGCTGTCTAACACAAAATAAAACAAAAGGATGAGGACATAGCTCAGTGTGAAGGCCTTGAGTTCAATCCCCAGTGCTGCACAAACTAAAAAACGAAACAAATCAAAACAAAACAAAAGAACCAGACAACAACAAGAATTCCAGACAACTGGGAGGAAGGATCATCTCTGGTTTAATTTGACTTGGAAAAGTAAGGAAATGTGACTTTTCCTGTAGCTAAGAATTATTACAGAGCATAAGTCACACTAGTGACAGAACAAAGAATCTGAAGGTTCAGCAAGACTTAACGTCACTGTAACACTGCTATGGCTAGCAGGGACAATGACACGACACCCAGCATGTGGAGGCAGACTTACTCACATCAACGGGCACCGATCGGGAGCACTCCGGAAATATCAGGCCCTGATATCTGGCGGTGTAGGGCTCATATGGGAGAAGCAGCAGGAAGACAGAGGCAGAACGGCTTGTCAATGGGGATGGGTTTACACAATGCGCATCACAGTGACCAGCCGTTCCTAAGACAGGAGCAACCGGATCTGGAACAGGAACTATCACCTGGGCAACTAAGAAACAAAAGTACACTGGCTGGGGGGGCATTTTCTGTTACACCACAGTTACATTTATAAAAATTTAAGACTTTGAAGATTAACACATCTGAATTAAATTGGACCTATTTTCATACTGGGGCAAAAATGTTTGTCTTGTGAGTTTCTGGTTACTAAAGACACTGGTAGATGACAAGTAAAGATTTCAGAAATGTAGAAGTCCCAAGTCAATTCCTTCTTGGACCTAGGTCCACAGGAAACTAAAATATGTTTATAGCAAGACTCTTTCTTTGGGCACCACACTGTTTCCTAAATGAACTGAAAGAGTAGGCCTAGAATCTAATGCTGATGGTACAGCTTGATTATAATGTGTTGGAACTCACCTGCAGGTGTCCTGTATGAGAAATGAAGGTGTGATTGGGTGTTTGTTTTTGGTACCAGGAATTGAACTCAGGGCCTTGCACTTGCCAGGCAGGTGCTGTGTGCTGCTGAGCTACGTCCCCAGCATGTAACTGGTTTTAAGCCACACATCTTGAAAGTATGGATGGGTTTCCCGTGGCTGGGTAGCCTGGTTCTTGAATAGTTGTCTTCTCTTAATGAGAATTTTTTTGAGAATTTCATTTTTTTATTTGGCTGTATAAGCAATGCAGGTCTAACAGCTGTGTCCTAAAGGCTGCCTGAGGCAAGAGGACACACATCTGGCCCTGCTGTGCAGCTTGTCTGTATCCTTGCAAAGGGGATGAGTCCCCTCCCTTGAATGGGCTAGACAAGACCCAGGTTGTGCCAAGAGGCAAGTTTTGCTGGGATAATGCCCACTGAGTTCCTCATGCCCACTCAGTCCCAAGCTCTGAAAAGTGTAGTTCTTCACACCTCTCTGCTAAGCATGTATTTTGTGACTGTTTCCTGTGTAGAGAGGTGCTGTGGTTTGACTGTGTCCCTTGAAGTTTCATGTGTTGGAAACTTAACTGCAAATTTGTATGTTAATAGTAGTTCGGGCTAGGGACTTTAGGAAGCAATTAGAATTAGATCAGATCATGAAGATAGGGCCCCTATGATAGCATTAGCAGCTTTATAAGAGGAGGACAGATCTGAGCTAGCATACTTACTGGATCTCGCAGGTGATACCCACTGCCATGTTATAATGCAGTAAGAAGTCCCTCACCTGTACCAATGCCGTGGTTTGAACTTGGCAGTCTGCAAAGCCGTGAATCAAATAAATCAAGGTCCAGTGATATAGCTCAGTGGCACAGCACCTGCCTGGCGGGTGTGAGGTCTTGAATTTGATTCCTGATACCAAAAAAAAAAAATTATTTTCTTTATAACTTATCTGCTGTCAGTTATTCTGTTATAGCAACAGAAAATAGTATTTAGAAGAAAAAGGCTAAAAACCTAGCTCTTGCATTAGAGAACTGAAAATAGATGGGTCTTCTACAGAATCCTCTAAACACAGCTCCTCCCATCCCACCTGACCACCCACCACTTGTAACTACAAAACAGAAAAGGGGGAGATGTGGGGAGTGGCTGAAGATCGCTGGAGATCGATCACACATGTGGGGACACAGCAAGCCCAGTCACAAGAACACGGAACACCAGAGGCAGGTCACATGAGTAGGCTGCTCTCGTCCCAAGAACGCTGGCAAGCCCCGTGGATAAGCTATTAGGTGGCGGGGTTTCACGTGACATTCAACCTCCCGAGTGTATAAATAAGTGTGCTGCAGCCACTGGGCCCTTCTTCCTCCTTCCCTTCTCGTCCTCCTCCTTCTGTCCTTCTCGCATCAGGAGAGAGGGATCCACCTGGCCTCAGTTGTCTGTTAAAAAAAAAAAAAAAACCAACTTAGTTCTTGCATTAGAGAATAGGACACTAGAAAACATAACCAATTTTTACCAAATCAACATAATAACATCATAACCGTTGTTGTAGATGGGTTTCCAAATTTCAGAAAGGACTCAGGGTAAGAACTGAAGCATGAAGAGCAGCTTACCAGCAATAAGGATGGAGGGACTGTGGGTGGCACAGGAGCACCAAAAAGACAGGCTGTCCGAGGAGCAGTGCAGAACTTGGTGTCTCTGGAATTTAAAGTGACATAGGAAAACGGCAAAAGATAAAGGTGGAGCGCGGGAAAAGACTACATCACAAGTAGACTTGTGTGTTATAACAACAAACTACGCCCTTAATTTGTGGGTGATTTTTATGGCTGGATTATGTTTCCCCAAAGTATTTCAGAGTATGGCCACATTTAGATAAGGACCTTTAGAGAGGTGATGCTTCTTTTTAAGAAGAAGCAATTTGGATACCCAAAAACACCACGGATATGTGCACCTAGAGGGTGGAGACACAGAAAGGCGCCTACGGTCAAGCCAGTAAGAGGACCCTCAGAGGAAACCAGGCCTGCCAACACCTAGAAGATGAAAACTTGAGAATATATGCGGCATTAGCTCTACTCGCATAAAGAACTGGTAAAAATGTACACAGATGCATCATGTCATCATCTCACTGAAGAATTAAGTGACGGGGCAACGCCATGTACCGCAGGCGATCTGGTCTGAGTACGCTGCCCAGGAGGTCACGCTGACGGGACAAGGGCCTGTTCAGTGTTCAGCTCTGTGTGCACTGCTCCTGGTGACAGACTCGTGCTCCTACCCCACAGTTAATGTCTGTGTTTGAGACAGAGACTAAGTTGCCCAAACTGGCCGCAAATTTATGATTCTCCTGCCTAAGCCTCTCAAGCAGCCACGATCAGAGGCATGTGCCACCGTGCCTGCTCCCTCCCAACTGGTCTTATCCCTTTATTAAACTTTTAAAAGTGAAATCTAGAGTCTCTGATACACTTGCTCTTACAGATTTAAAAGTGTTTTAGGAGAAAATGCCTCAGACATTCATTTGTCAGTGCTTAATCCTACTATGAGTCTCTAACTTTCTCCCTGCAAGAAAGCTGTCAGTTCTCTGCAGGGCGTGGTGGTGCACGTCTGTAATCCCAGCACTTGGGAGGCTGAGGCAGGAGCATCATTGAGAGTTTGAGACCAACCTGGGCTACAAAGTGAGCTCAAGGGCAGCCTGAACTGCGTAGTGAGACCCTGTCTCAAAAGGACACACACACACACACACATACACACACACACAAAGCTGTCAGTTCTCTTCCTTCGTATACTACACACTTGCCAATGGCCCAATTCAGTATCTGAAACACACTGAGATTTCTGTTTTAAAATTAATATAATGTACATTCTTCAAGAAAAAGCTATTCACAGATTGTGGGGAGGAGAGGTCTTTCTCTGTAAACTTTTATATTGTCTTTTTTTTAAAAACACGGATGTGTTGCCAAACATTAAATGGGCATGTATATATAAACTACAAGCCACACTGTGATAGACAAAGATGCACCACCCACATCCCATCAGGGAGTGAAACAGGGGGCCCTCCCTGTGTGCAGATTCAAATAGCTGTGAGTGGAAAATATTTAGGGGGAAAACTGCATCTTTACTGCACATGTGCACACTTTTTTCTTATCCCTTTCCCTACGTGATATAGTATAATAACTATTTACATAGTATTACATTGAATTAAGTACTCTAGAAATGATTTAAAGAATATGGGAGGATATTTGGAAGTGGTATGCAAATACTATTTTTTTTTTTTTTGAGACAGGTCTCACTCTGTAGTTCAGGCCGTCCTTGAGCTCACTTTGTAGCCCAGGCTGGTCTCAAACTCTCAATGATCCTCCTGCCTCAGCCTCCTCACTGCTGGGATTACAGGCATATGCCACCATGCCATGCAGCAAATACTACAGTATTTTGTGTAAAGGACTTGAGCGGCCATGGGCTTTGCTGTCCACAGCGTGCATGGAGCCAGTCCCGTGTGGGTGCTGAGGGATGACTGCACTGCACGGCTGTGGGAAATGCAGTTGGCACACAGCTTCTAGCTGTCAGCTCCTTGGGCTGTGTTTCAGGTGTAAAACCCACCATGCCCACCCCGAGACAGTTTGTGTCTGTGACTGAGTGAAGCAAGGGCATAAACGCTGGGGCATTTCAATCGCACTAGGAGCAACTTTGAGGGGCAGTTTTGGCTCTGGAGCTCCCATCCTGGTTCACTGGGTTCTTTGCTGGGTCTCTATCTGGGTTCCATTTTCTTCCTCTGACTAATTCTGCTTTCTTCCACAACTTTCACCCTGAAAACATCTCAAAAATCTGAACTTCAAATCCATGTCCACTTCTGGAACAGAGAAAAAACACATATTTGGTAACATAAACGTCAAAAAAAAAAGATTTAAATGTCAATGCATATTATACTTAATGGTAAAATCAAGACATTTACATTCAAAGGACTAATTTCAATAACAGAAAATTATTTGTGTCCAGTGGTCTACAATCTGATATATTTCAATGTAACCTTATTTTACTTATTTATTTTAGAGACAGGTGTCACTCTGCAGTTCAGGCTGGCCTTGAACTCGCTATGTAGTCCGGGCTGGTCTCGAATTCACAGTGATTCTCTTGCCTCAGCCTCCCCTGTGCTGGGACTACAAGCATGTGCCACCATGCCTGGCATCATGTAACCTTTTAAAGTAACAATTCTAATAACATCACTTACAATGTATCTTCTTGGCAAAAACAAACGAACAAGTAATAAGATATTTTTACCTCTGACAGTATGAGGGAATGATGCAAATGTTTACAGATGAAAGTAAATTAAATGGCACTGTTTTCTGCAGTGAAATATTCTTCCACTTGCCCATATTACCTACCACATGTACACATGTATACACACACACACACACACACACACACACAGCCTCTAGATTAGCAATCCTCTTACTTATCATTTGTCTTTAAGCTCTTAATAAACATTTCAGTAACTGGTATGTGTTGTGGCTGGGATGAGGCTCAGTGGTAGAGCCCTGGTCTAGAATGCACTGAGACCCAGGTTTCCAGAGAAGAAGGAAAGAAGGGGAAGGCAAAGAAGAAGAAGAGAAGAAGGGGCTGGGGATTTAGCTCAGTGGCAAAGCGCCTGCCTGGCAAGCGCAAGGTCGTGAGTTCGGTTCCCGGTACCGGAAAAAAAAAAAAAAAAAAAGAAGAAGAGAAGAAAGATGAGCCAGTGAAGGAGCAGGAGAAGGGGTACATGGAGGAAGATGAGGAGGCAGAGCAGGGAGAGGAGAGGATGGAAACACCACAGCATTTTATGCTAAAAACACCTCAAGTATCCTCACCAAGTATACTTTTATACCTTTTCCTTCCAGTGTTCATAATAGAAAAAATATGTAAGAATTATGTATCTTTCTAATTTTTATTATTGTAATTAAGTGAATCAACAGTGGATGACATTTTTAAAACGATTATTCCCAATTACCTATTTTGTTTTATTTAAAAGATATCAGATGAGACATATTTTAAAATAATTTGAAACAAAGTAAAAATATCAACACTGTTGCTTTTACTATTAATTCTCTTGGAGGTGAAAGTGTTAAGTCTTGCTTTTTCCCCCCTCAAAGTTCTGCTGAAAATGTAATTTTTTATTTTTATTTTTTGGTGCCAGGATCTGAATCCAGGACCTTGTGCTTGCCAGGCAGGCGCTTGTGCCGCTGAGCTATATCCCCAGCCCAGAAAATGTAATCTAAATGCTATGTACGGGGGCTGGGGATTTAACTCAGTGGCAAAAGCGCCTGCCTGGCATGCGCAAGGTCGTGAGTTCGGTTCCTGGTACCGGAGAAAAACCAAATAAATAAATAAATAAATAAATGCTATGTACATATCTTTTACTTCCTAAAAGTTCTGTATTTCTAGGCCTATATATATAGAAATACTTTATAATATTAAATTCATATCCATTTAACCATTTGTGATATGAGATTGACTAAATAATCTGACCTCTAATATGGCTTTATTTTTTTTTTTGTTTTTTGAGATAGGGGTTTCTCCAAGTTTCCTATGGCTGGTCTCAAACTTGAGATTATCCAGTTGTAGCATTCTAAGCAGCTGAGATTATACAAGTGTACTGCCACCACTGGCTTCTCTTTTATAAAAGGAAGAAGCAATAAATAGTTCAATTAGTACTGCTTCTATCTAGAGGTTCAGATCAGGCCTCAATTAATAGAAACAGCTATTCATTTTTGAGTGCATATTATTTGCTAAGCACTCTGAGGACTTCAAAGATAAGCAGGACTTCCTCTGTCTTTGTGAAGAGTTTTTAACGTATTCAAGAGGAATAAGGCAAAAAGAAATCAGGGAAAGACACATGCCATAGGAAGGCATCACATTGTGTAGAGTAATATCCAATTGTGGTGATGGT